AAAAAAAGCCAGGCATGGTGGCACGTGCCTGTGGTCCCAGCTACTCAGGAGGCTGAGGTGGAAGAATCGCTTGAACCTAGGAGGTGGAGGTTGCAGTGCGCCGAGATTGTGCCACTGTGCTCCAGTCTAGTGACAGATCAAGAGTCTGTCTCAAAAAAAAATTTTTTTTTACAACTAATAAACACAAGTCTCTTTCCAAGTGCTTCATCAATATTAATGTTTTTATTTTTTTTTTTGAGATGGAGTTTCGCTCTTGTTGCCCAGGCTGGAGTGCAGTGGCAAGATCTTGGCTCACTGCAACCTCTGCCTCTCGGGTTGAAGCGATTCTCCTGCCTCAGCTTCCGGAGTAACTGGGATTACAGGCATGTGCCACCATGCCTGGCTAATTTTTTTGTATTTTTAGTAGAGATGGCGTTTCTGCATGTTTGTCAAGCTGGTCTCAAACTCCTGAGAGTTTGAGAGGGTGATCTGCCCTCCTTGGCTTCCCAAAGTGCTGGGATTACAGGCATGAGCCACCACACCCAGCCTTCTTAAACCAATCCTTTTAGTCCAGTGAAAGATAATTGGAACGAACAGCTCCATTACTCTTGCCAATACAGGCAAAATAGGTTCATGCTGTCTTGAAGAGTAGCTAATTAAAAGCCACCTCAGTGTTCGGCGTTGGGCGCCAGGTCCTGGGGAGGAAGTGGGCCGTGCTCATAGGGAGAACAGGACTTTTTTTCAGGGAGGGAGTTAGGGCCCAGTCACTCAGCCCCTGTTCCCGATCCCTTCAGGATCCCTGGCAAAGTGGCCCAGAGCAGCTCCAATTAAGGTCAGGTGCTGGGAAGGGCAGTAGGACAACTCAAGTAAAGCCACTCTGGCCGGGCACAGTGGCTCACACCTGCAATCCCTGTACTTTGGGAGACTGAGGCGGGTGGATTATGAGGCTAGGAGTTTGAGACCAGCCTGGCCAATGTGGTGAAATCCCACCTCTACTAAAAAGACAAAAATTAGCCAGGCACGGTGGCACACGCCTGTAATCCCAGCTACTCGGGAAGCTGAGGCAGGAGAATCACTTGAACCTGAGAGACGGAGGTTGCAGTGTGCCAAGATTGTGCCGCTGCACTCCAGCCTGGGAGACAGAGTGAAACTCTGCCTCAAAAAAAAAAAAGAAGCCACTCGGATGAGGAGAAGGGTGGGCTACAGTCTAGCCCCGGGGGCAAGGAGCCCTCGGGAATAAGAGGTGGAAGTGCGGGTGCCATGGGGTTGCTGACGCTGGAGCAAGTTCTCCCTATCCCTCTGGGGCTCACCTGCCTAAAGGAAGTGGTCCATGCATGGAATGAAGAATGTTTGTTTTTGAGCTGTGTGGCACCAGACTTAGGCCTTCTGGGGCTCCACGCCCTCCCCTCTGAGGCAAGCCCCACCTGCCCTGGAAGCAGCCTGCACCTCCCCTTCCTGAGCATCAAAGCTTTGGCTCGGCTATTGCTAAACTGTCTTCCTAGAAGCCTTTACCAGTTCATACTCGTACCACAAGTGCATCATTCTTTTTCA